CAGATAGTAAGTCTAGCTCTAGTGTACAGAACTCAGAAAGATAGATTGTTTTATTAAAAAAGACTTTAGTACAATTGGGTCTTTCAAAAGTGGCGAACGTATGGGAAATTAGCCTATTCCTCAAGTTGGATGATGAAAAAAATCTATTATTTCTACCATCCATTTTAAGTTATAAATCAAGCAAGTTTAGAAAAATGGATAATAAAAATCAAAGAATTGAATACGAAATTTTTGGTTAGACCTTTTTGAATGAACACTAAAGTGATTCTTTATAATAAAACCAAAGGTCTTTATCGGTTAAGCTTAATTCAAATGCAAATGATTGAATTTACAGCCAGGAACTGAATAGATTGTAAATTGAATAAACTAGTTGATAAATGGATAAATCAAGCTGGTTTAATTCTCATCCTATTTATTTTCTAATCAATTAAATAGGTATAATATAAAGGTTTCTTTGAGAAATTCTTTATTTTTGTTTAAATCTTACAGGATTATTTTGATGGAACTTCAAAGTTAAAGTTTTCTTACCTCTGGATTTTTTTTATAAGTATATTAATACTGATCTTATTTGTTCATATGACCATTCATTAAAAGACCATAAACAATTATAGATTACTATGGAGATTTTATGACGGTTGAGAATATTGGGCTGATTTGAGTATAATTAACACTAAAATTTTTTGGAGAATAACTTTATAAATTTATAACAGTGAAAATAGAACCTTAAGGGATATTCTGAAATTCATGAAATAAAGAATCTTAAGTATATATTAAATGGGGAAATATCGATATCTCAAGTGAAATGAAGATGCTTTTGAACAAATGAAGGAGATAATATAGATTTTCATGGCCTAATGATAACGCAATTTTAAATTTTACATTTCATAGTAAATTTGAACACAAATTAACAATAGAAACTTTTGAATTTAGGAAAGAAATGATGCCAAAGTCATAGCATCAATCAGTAGCCTTATCGGTAGAGCTTTTACTTCATAAAGGATATTAATTTATTGGATATAAACCGGTATAGCTTTTGGGGAGTTAATAGCAGTAAAGAAAATGAATATCAATTCCACCATCATAACGATATTGCTGTCCATGGAAGATTTGTGTTTTTTGAATTAATACTCCTTCAATTAAAGAAATGTTAATGTAATTGAAGCTAGAATTATAAAGATCCTTAGAGCAAACAAAAATATTTTAACACCTTTATGAGTTAGCTATTGCTGCCTTTATTGCTGATGGTTGCTCCTGTAATTTAACTTATTCTATTTCATTCATGTCCCATTTCTTTTTTCAACCTTAATATGCTTTATGTGTTCGGATTTAGAAATATTTACCTCAAATTGAAATCTTAAGCGATATTTAATGAAGATTTTATTGATTCTCAAAGTGACATTTCCATAAGAAGAAATTAACATATCATATAAGAGGCAAGAATTTTAGTCCCATAGAGTAAATTTCAGAGTTTAACTTTCTAACCCTCATTTGAATATAAACTCTTCCACTAGTAAATTTAAATAGAGGCCGAGCAAAAATGAGAAAGTAATTATTACATCATTTTTCCTAATCTAATATTTACATCTAATCAGACACATATTCCAGGGTTATTAAGAAACTTGGCAAAAAGAGGCCTTAATAGCTTTAGCTACACTTAAGTGTTAAATGATTAAATCCCCTTTTCAAAAATATTATATGAATTGCATAAATCAAGAAAAATAAGAATTCAATTGCCTTTTTTCTTAAGTTCTCTCCTTAATTTAAGAGATAGGCTTAGTATCCTAGGTGAGATAAAAATCTTATTTAGCAAGATTTAATAAACAAAAGCAAATGATTTAAATCAGCTAAATCAGTTAACGAAATGAGCCTCTATAAGCTTGATAAAGAGGCTCTGGACTATGATTGCATGGAGATTTCTCTTAAAGGTAATTGTTGTTCATTTTGTTTAATCGTACCAGTCAAATGGAGAACAGCTGCTTAAGCTGTTGTATTTCATTAACTTAAAGAATTGCTTTTTTGACAAAAAGCTTTCATTAAGCATAGTTCAATTACATCAAAGACAGCTTATTATTTTAAGTTCTATATGTATTAAGAAAGATTTTTTTTTAATTCAAAACAAATTTCCCCTTCTAAAGTTGAGTTGAGGCAAACATTCTAGACAGAACCTTTCTTTTAAAGGTTTGATATTTTTGAGTTTTAGTGTGTTGTAGAACTCTTAGAATCAGGTGCAATCAACTTGCTCTTAGTGGCTTAGAAAGGAAGCTCAGGTATTCTCTAGATCAATATCATAATCTCTAATTAAGAGCCATTTAATTACACGCTCTCTGGTAATCATATATTAGTTAAAATCATATCTATCATTGGATTTAGCATTCTAAACAAGGTTAGCCTCTTAAATAGATAAATTAGTTTTGTTTAAAGAATTTATACTCACTATGCTAAAAATATCAAATTATGATCCTTGACCTGCCTAACCTCACATATCCTTAATGAATCAGCTAAATGTGCAACAATCCCATCTCTTTAAGGCCTATACTCATTAATCCTCACTCTACTATTTTACCCTAGTCCTAAAGAATGCGGACAGCACCTTCCTTACTTGTCGAAGGAGACAAACTTAGTTCAAGTTCTATTCCTGCCTTCTATTGTGAATTATTAGTATATGAGATTCCTAAATCTATGTTATTAAGCTTAAATAAATTATCGTGTACAAGTAATATAATTTTTAGACGAAAAGCTAAACATTCACTGCTTCATTTTAATTTGAATCAATAGCACATTATCTATTGGTTTAGCAAAAGATATCCAAAATATTCTAAAGAAAAGAACACTTTGTGCACCAAACATTTTACAAGGATTGAAGCAATGAGATGAGCGATGTTAACCTTAGGGGTAAAGTTGAAAAATAACGCGTAACATCAAGCTATAGAAGAGGTAGGTATATTGATAGTCCCTTAATGTATAGGTTAAAACTGAGGTGAAGCTCCTTGAAAATTAATTCTATGAAAGAGCAAGAACATTAATTTTACAAAAGTATCAGTTCTTAACTTACAGGATTAATCCTAGTATTAATATTACAAAAACTAGAACTGGCTTCATTCTTATTCACATTATTTAAAACTCTCTAAGCCTATCAGTTTCATTGGTTAAAAGGTTTAAATCGTTTAATATTTGATGAGACCTTATTTATGATTTCAGTTTCTTTGATTGACTTGATTTAAAAGCTCATTAAAATTTGTTTTTGATTTGTAGCATTTGATAATTATTGCATGAAATCAAGATAATTTAAATTTATTCCATTATGAAATATTTATTATCTAATATCTAAAGTAAGAGGAATTGAGTAATAACTTTTTTATCTACTGATTATTTCATTTATTATTTTTGAAAGTTCATTTCACATATCCACTCTCGTTTTTTACAAAGGCAAAATAAACCAAGTTTTGAAAATTGTGATACAANAAACATTCTAGACAGAACCTTTCTTTTAAAGGTTTGATATTTTTGAGTTTTAGTGTGTTGTAGAACTCTTAGAATCAGGTGCAATCAACTTGCTCTTAGTGGCTTAGAAAGGAAGCTCAGGTATTCTCTAGATCAATATCATAATCTCTAATTAAGAGCCATTTAATTACACGCTCTCTGGTAATCATATATTAGTTAAAATCATATCTATCATTGGATTTAGCATTCTAAACAAGGTTAGCCTCTTAAATAGATAAATTAGTTTTGTTTAAAGAATTTATACTCACTATGCTAAAAATATCAAATTATGATCCTTGACCTGCCTAACCTCACATATCCTTAATGAATCAGCTAAATGTGCAACAATCCCATCTCTTTAAGGCCTATACTCATTAATCCTCACTCTACTATTTTACCCTAGTCCTAAAGAATGCGGACAGCACCTTCCTTACTTGTCGAAGGAGACAAACTTAGTTCAAGTTCTATTCCTGCCTTCTATTGTGAATTATTAGTATATGAGATTCCTAAATCTATGTTATTAAGCTTAAATAAATTATCGTGTACAAGTAATATAATTTTTAGACGAAAAGCTAAACATTCACTGCTTCATTTTAATTTGAATCAATAGCACATTATCTATTGGTTTAGCAAAAGATATCCAAAATATTCTAAAGAAAAGAACACTTTGTGCACCAAACATTTTACAAGGATTGAAGCAATGAGATGAGCGATGTTAACCTTAGGGGTAAAGTTGAAAAATAACGCGTAACATCAAGCTATAGAAGAGGTAGGTATATTGATAGTCCCTTAATGTATAGGTTAAAACTGAGGTGAAGCTCCTTGAAAATTAATTCTATGAAAGAGCAAGAACATTAATTTTACAAAAGTATCAGTTCTTAACTTACAGGATTAATCCTAGTATTAATATTACAAAAACTAGAACTGGCTTCATTCTTATTCACATTATTTAAAACTCTCTAAGCCTATCAGTTTCATTGGTTAAAAGGTTTAAATCGTTTAATATTTGATGAGACCTTATTTATGATTTCAGTTTCTTTGATTGACTTGATTTAAAAGCTCATTAAAATTTGTTTTTGATTTGTAGCATTTGATAATTATTGCATGAAATCAAGATAATTTAAATTTATTCCATTATGAAATATTTATTATCTAATATCTAAAGTAAGAGGAATTGAGTAATAACTTTTTTATCTACTGATTATTTCATTTATTATTTTTGAAAGTTCATTTCACATATCCACTCTCGTTTTTTACAAAGGCAAAATAAACCAAGTTTTGAAAATTGTGATACAATTTCTACAATCAATATATTCTATTGATAAACTAAGTTTAAGCTTATTTAACACCAATACCATATAATTTTGTTGCTATTATTTAGAATTTTATTGCAATTAATCAATACAACATTATGCGGTATAAGAATTATCCAAAATCCATTTATTTTAATAGAATTTGATTATTATTTTTTAGTTTTGTAATCACAGATAAATATCATATTAATAAAAATCTCATACATAATGAATATTTAACTTCGTAAACCCAAAAATAAAAGCCAGAAGTTCAAGAAATGGTTTGTTGAATTAATTAATTTGAGATAATTGCTCTAGATCTTGAAACATCAGAAAAAGGATAATTTTCATACTTGTACTGGTATTGTTTGGTTGAGAAATTGAATAATAACAAAATATGAACTATAGAATAAAAAAAGTTAGAATATAATCTTTCAAAACTTAAAAAAAAGAGAATAAGACTAAAGTGATCGAAATGAGGCTAAAACATATTGATTAAATTATGGATTTCAAAAGTACCGTTGAAAAACTTGGAAAAAAATTATAGTCAAACAAAAGCCCAAATTCATACAATTGAAAGGGAAAAATAATGTTTATTAGAGGGTGTTTAAATCCAAGTGAATTTCTTAGAGGACGTCAAATCAATATCTGAATTCGTTTCATCAGATTTCCAAGATAAATAAAATCGAACTGTAAAAAGATAGCTTATTTATTGATGAAATTTTTAGACTATTCGAAATTCTCTTTAATAACGCTTAATACTTTTAAACTATCGACACATTTAAGGATGCTAAATAGAAGATCAATCAAATAAAACGATAATATTAAAATTGAATTAACGCCACAACAAAATAAAAATAATTACGTGAAAACAATTTTATTATATTTTAGAAAACACCAAGTTTAAACAAAATTTAACTTAAACATAATAAGGAAATTATAATGATTGACATAGATACAAAGGAAAAAAAAGTAGATAATAGATTTGCATGCCTTGATTGCATTTGTGATCATCCTCATTGTTAGTATAGAACAATTGAAAAAGTAAATTAGGAATGGAATTATACAAAATAACAATAAGATTAAGTTTTAAATAATTTGAAGTTAAAAGGCAAGAAAAATAAGAAAAATTGAATTAATTAGTTGCTTAGATTAGAAAAATTCACAACTATTAACTTAATGAAATTAGTGAAAAATTAATTACAGAGATACCAATAACCAGAACAGTTAATACTTGTAAATTCAAGTCAGCCTCTATCCAAGGATTAAATAATGAAGAATTAGTTTCAAATATTAGTAATTTAATTCAGTGCGATAAAGAAAAATAATTCAAAGATTCAAAAATCGAGTAAGTAACATCTAAGGATCTTTTATTTTTAAAAAGAAATTGAAAACAAATTTGAACACTTAAAATAGCATAATTAATTAGATATCTAGGAGTCATTAAATATTTTACAAGAAGAAAATCAAAATCAGAAGTTAAATTATTATTATAACCAATTTTGGAGTACACAAAAGGAAATTAAGAATAATTAATTTTAAAACAAGAATTAGAAGAACTCTTAAATTCATCGAAGTAAATTTATTGCTAGTTGGGGTTATTCAAACAAACAATTCATAAATTTTAAGAACATCTTATAAAAATTAATAATATTAACAATCAAATGAAATCAATTTCAGATCATTTAAATTCTTACTTGCCTTCAAAAAGGTATTCAAGAATACACTAATAAATTTCAGAATGATTTCAATAATTAAAAATTCTGTGATATTGAAAACTTAGAGAACAACTTAATAGCTTTGCAGAAATTAGAATAAGAATGTAAGAAGAAGATTGAAGACTAGAATAACATAATAGATTCACTAAAAGAACTAGTTGAGAGTACCTAATTATAACGAAAAAAGTTTGATGATGAATTGTAGTTATTAAATAAAAAGCTGATAAAGGAATAGAATAATTATCTATACTCAATAAAAGAAGAATAACTAAAAAATTAAAACCAAATTTAAGAACTAAATCAAAAGATATTGAGATTTCTTCTTAGCCGTAGATAAGATCATAAAAGTTTTTCATAATATTTAATATATCACATATTCAGAAAAAGCTCATGTAACTCTTTTTACGATATAATAATAATCTAAATAGCTTGGCAACTCAAACAATAAAAATAGAAACTACATTACTAATATCAAAGAAATCTAGAATTATTACTAGATAATTTTAATTAATAATTTATGTGTTAAATTAATAATGTTCATAATTTTCCCCTTTCGGATGAACTTATTCTAAACACCATTCATATTTTCAAATATCTGAAATGCTATCATAATTATCAAGCTTGCAATTAATGAAAAGAGATCTATTAAGAAACATTTAGAAAAAATTAATCTCAAGGCATCCAAGGTCTAATAAGAGACAAAGAAATGTAAATACACAATTAAAGTAATAACATTTAAATATAATAAAACGATATTCATCGAATTAAATTGAATAATAATTATTTTATTTTTCTTATTCTATTATTATGTAATATATAATGAAATTAACTTCTTTAAGAAGGTCGAATTTTTTATCATAAATTTTGTTTTAAATTAATTTTATTAAAAATGAATTAAGTATAAAACCAAAATTATTTTAATGCTGATTATTGGATCAAAATATTTGATATTTTTAGGAGAAGACTTAAAAACTCATCAAATATTCTGTTTTGATTTATTAAGGTTAAAGGGATGGATTGAATTGTAATTAATTTTGGAATAATGTGGATGGTAAAGGGAACTTACTGATGGTATTTAGATCCAAAAGCAATCATATTTTCTAAGCATACTCTCCATGTGTATGGAAATTATGTGATCATGGAACATATGGAGAAGATATTACAATTTCATTGTTTGTAATTTCATAAACTCATAATTTCATTTATCCTTTGAAGTAGGAATATAAATCATATGCTATCCATTGTAATAAGAATTGGGGACCTATATTTGGATGCGATTTCGATCTTTTAATAAATGGTGATTTTACTACTGGCTTTTCTATATTTGGAAGAGCATATGAATTTGATCAATATAAGTATGGAAAGGATGACCCATATTTATATGGATAAAACAGCTAAGAAATAAATGAATGCGAGATTTATGAATTATAATTTGTTTTGATTGACATATTTATGAAAAAAAATAGTTAAAAACCTATTTTTGAATTTAGGATGTTAAATAAAAAGAAACTCAATTTAAAAATAATTTTTAAAATGAATTTATTAGTAAGAGAAACTTTATACTTTCTCTTTAGTTGAATAATGTAAAGGAAAATAAAATCAATAGTTAAAAAAGGATGTGCCATTCCTTTTTGTTTTAGTTATTCGTCATAGATATACATTGAAATATAGATTTCAATTCTGATGATTTTTAGAATACCTTTCTCATCTGTACTTTCTAAGTGCGCAAAGGCGTGAAGCTTGAAATCAATTCTTTTTAATCGATTTAGTAAATTCTCTAATAATGAGCACAACTTTATTTATCCTATAAATGTGCTTTATTCTTGTTTCATTCATCCATACAAGTTTTAGGAAATTTTTAATGTAAATGTTTTTATTTGCATGATGTGTCAACTACAATAATTATCTATCTATTATCAGAGAAGATAAATCCAAGTTGCACTTACAAAGAGGAGCAATAATCGAAATATCAATATTTCAAATTTATAATAAAGCAAATCCAGCATTAGATTGAAAATTAATATGATAACCCTTAAAATCAATCTCTTCTTTCAAAAGGAATTTTTTTCTTTTTAAAAGAAGACAATAATTTATATTTTGATAATTTAATATTTCCAAAGGCTTTTTGTAAAATATATGCCTTATTCCATTCATTATAAGTTAAAGTCAGTCAAATAAATAGTATTCTATTTATAAAATTTCATCAAAATGAAAGTAATAAGTTGTATAATATCTAAGTAATTATTAGTTTAAATATTTCGTGTATACAATAATGTTTTAAATGCCATATCCCATCCATTTAGAATTACAGCTTTTTATAAACCTTAAAAAGGCAAAAACTTTCTCAAATTAAGCAAATCTTTGCAAATGTTATATAAGGTTATCTCACACTTAAAAATCAATTTTGGACTAATGTTTAATGATAAAGTTGAGCCATAGTAAAAGTTCCTAGAACAAAGTATTTACTAGTACATAGCTTTTTTAAATAATTGGTACAACAAAATAAGGAATATAGCTTGAAAAAATTTACATTTCATTTATAGAAATATTAAGCATTATAATATTTAGCATGAAAGACTGATGATCATGCTTGGGTCTAAATTTTCTGGAAATTATAGGTTAATATAGAGTAAAACTGTAAATAATTAAAATAATAGAATAAGATATTTTCAGTTAAATCACGAAACCCAACAAGGGGTTGGGTTTGGGGTTTGGG